CTAACAGAAACTGAAACTGAAGGATGAGGCGAGAGGGGGGATCCTCGAACTAGTTGTCGGCGGAGCCCCGAAGCCCTTCTCGCCCACGCGCTTCATGTCGACATCCTCTGGCAATTCGCCACTCCGACTCGAGTAGCTCGATCTGCCGTACATCCAGCCGTATCTGGTATGCCACAGGCCCGGCTCAATATGTATTCCCTCGATCGCGATGGTGTGCCGAGATCCCGTCGCGTTGTTCTTGGTGGTGGCAACCTTCGTGGGCGCATGCCGCCCGCATCTGAGGTCGCTGATCCCCATCTGGAGCGCCGCCGCCGTCCTGGAGTAGGCCTCGTCGATCTTCACATTGAGCTGGCTGATGGCCTCTCGTGAAGCTGCACCTGTTCCCTGCTTTACTCTTGTGGCCAGTTTACCCAGCCGTACTCGTAGTGCCTGCAGCGTCTCAATGACAAGTAGGAGGCGCTTCTTCTCGACAAACTCCTGCGTGATCTTGTGAAGTGGCGCCTCCTTGGCGTAGTGTATCAGCATCGGTGACTGCCGTCTCGCCATCAACTCAAACAGGTAGATGTGCCAGCCCACCGGCGCCAGTGTCCTGGCTCCGCCCAACCTCGCAGAGTGACCGCCCAGGAGCCTGTTGCCGTCCGCGTCCTGGGTGGGGAGGCCGGCCATGGTACGCATGGTCTCGTATGTGGCCACGCCCTCCTCCTTCTGGACGGTCTTGCCCGACATAGTCGGGAAGAACGGCAATCCTGGGGGGATGACTCCCTGCAGGTCGGTGAAGCTGCGGTGTGTCCGTTCCATCTGCCTCTTGGCGGCGTGGAACGGGCGCGCGAGGCTGAATACTGTCTCACACAAGCGGCCCCGCGTCCGTGATGTACTTAGAGTAGCAGGGTCCGCCTTCGAGCCTGGGCGAATCCACTTGACCTCCTGGCGATCTGAGTCGATGATCACGTTGTCGTATAGTGTGAGCGGGCTCTCGATCACCCGTAGCATGAAGAATACGCTTGCCGCCGTGATGTTCCCGACGCTAACTGGTCCCGATGGCGTGACGGGTAAGTCGCTGTTCTTGCCGCCCTTGGCGAACTGGATGATTGCAGTGAGGTTAATCGGCTCCTCTTGTTTGCCTGGTCCAGGGCCTCTGAGTACGGATCTGGTGACTCGACTCGCTTCCAATCTAGGCTGGTCAAACCACTCGCCCCCCTGCACCAGGTGCAGCTCCCTGATCTTCGTGAGGTAATACGCGACCGACTCGTACTTGTCCGCCTTGACGAGTGCGCCGACCGCCTGAAGCTTCACAGCTGTGAGGGGTAGCATCGGCGCATGCAGGCTGAACCAGCAAAAGTGAAGTGCCTGCCACGTCTTGAGTAGCGAGTCCTTGGTTCTTTTGGCTGAGGCCGCCACAGAGTTCTCCTGCAATCTCGCCAATGCCACGTGCCTGGAGTCCTCCGATCTCGCTGCTGCCAGCGCCGTCTGCTTCGGTCCGCCTCTCGTGACCTCGATCTGCGGGGCGTCCGTGCGCTCGGCGAACTGCCGTCGCGGCTTATGCCTGATGTCCCCGCCCGCGGGCGGGTGTAGCCCGCTGCTGGACGAGGCGGCCAGGCACTGCCTGGGCGCGTAGCCCGCGAGGCAGATCGGCGGCCCGCGGTCCTGTAGGAATATGGAGAGGCTAATGAATGAAAGAAAGCCAGACGCCATCCTCTTGCCCGTAATGGGCTGGAGCCAAAGGGTTACGGACATAAGGGACGGGTCCCCCCAGGCCCGTAGGCCGTTTCACGTCGTTTAGCGGTCCACTTTTCCTCAGAGACTCTCCAAGTGAACGCTACAGAGCACGCCTACGCGGTGTGTGTCCTTTACCTGATCGGGCATCAGGCCCTGGGGCTCTCGAAGGCCAATCGAGGACCAGGGGAGGAGCCAGATAGGAGACCATATCTGACACCGACCACGGGGGGGCCACGGACCAGGGGTCGACGGCCCGCGCGACATAAGCTTATGCCCCCTCCCTCGGCCACGAGGGGGCCACGCGCGACGGTGGGGAGTCGACCCTCGAGGTTCGGTGGCACATCCCCCAGGCCCATACAGTTGAGAATATCCCCCCCACTTTTCGGGTGCCGCGTCACGGAGAACCACGTGCCGCGGGCAACCGAACCTCACGGAAGGCCGCGTGAGGGGGGGGGGCTCTTTTCCTCTCTGCCGTAGTCGACGGATGCATCAGCAAACGTTACGCAGGCCTGCAGGCTGCAAGCAAGTCGGCGCTAGCCAATTAGTTAGACTGCAGCTTCAGCGCACATCCCGTCCCCGTTCACTGCAACTGCGAAGCGGACGGGAAGGCGCAGAAGAGGCTCAGCAAGCGCGGCGCCACATGGAACACAGTGGCGCCCCCTGTGCGATGGGGCGCCGTGCCTGGTGCCCAGGCTGCGCACGCCTGCTGACCTCGTCGGCCACGTCGCTGGCGATGCCCAAGAGGTGGACGTATGCCTTGGGCTCGTAGGCGCAGTCGCCGAACTCCTGCGCCATCTCGCGATAGATCACCCCAAGGCCGTAGGATGCCGCCCGTGTCAGAATTGGGCAGCAGGGATGGCGTGGGGATGCTCTCCGCCGACGCCGCAAGGCGGCCGCCCTGCTGAGGCCAGACCTGCTTCCACACGCGGAGCGTCCCCAGCATCGCGAGGGCCCTCCAGATTTGCTGTCCGGTTGCCTCCCCTAGTGGGGCGTGCAGGGCGTCTGCGTCGGCCTGGGTGAAGGGGGTCGTGAAGCGGTCTTCACAAAGTCCTCGATCAGGGGTAGCCGCCGAGGTCCCCCGGTGACGCGTCAATCACGATGCGACCCGCTTGCTGTAGCCGAAGTACGCTCGAAACCGATGAACTCGAGAGAGCACGCCGAGGGATCCTGCCTGAAGAGCGTGGATCCGCTCCGTCGCCTGTGCGATCTGCTTCGTCCAGATGCACTGCTGCGGGGCGTAGCGCATCTCGCCTCGCTTGTGGGCCGCGATCGTGCTCCGCATATCTTGCAAGAAGGGTCTCCACGCCTCGATCATGCCGTGGTTGGCCTTGCCTACCAATGGCTGCACGTCCTTGATCGGCGCCACGTTCGAGATCCTCGTGACTGCACCGTGTGGCGTACCTCGTCTACAAGCCCTGCTTGGCCGTGACCTCGATGGCGGGCTCTGGCCTCGTCTTGCACACGATGGTGGGTGCCGATCCAGTCCACCTCCTGGCCTGGCTCCGCCTTCTTGTAGGTGAGCTTGGGGCCCAAGGTTTTTCTCTGGCTTTGCCTGTGAGTCGCCGCCTACCCACGAGTAGTTGTGAAGCACAGGCTCGTCGTCGTGCTCGTCAGGCGTGTCCTGCGCGTGCTCCCCGACGGCGTCGTCTACCTTCGGAAGGATGCCCGAGTGCTCCGTGTCCACCTCGAGACCTGCGGAGGCGCCGTGCTTGAGCCAGTCCTCGAGGTACTTGCCGTCGCTGTCCTTCGCTCGCCTGACCCAGGCCGCACGCGTGCCTGATCGTATGGGCGTGTCGTACGTGTCGTTGACCACGCCCTTGATGTTCTCTGTTTCCAGTAGGCTGCCCAAGGTGATGGCCGTGTCGTCCCGCTCGTCTGCCTCTGGTCCCGCGGCGTTTGCCTCGAGACCGATGGCGTCAGGGCGTACCCGCTGGATGTGCGAGTTGGCGTCCAGGTGCTGCTCGATGATGTGTCGAAGCTGCTCATTGAATGCCCCGTAGTCCTGCATCTTGCCAGTGCTCTGCATGGGGAGTCTCATGCCCCCTATGTATAGCTCGTTCTCCCGTTCTCTGTACTTGACCTCACCCGCACGATTGCCTCTGCGTGAGTGGCAGAACGTGATGCGATCTCCCGACTGTGCCTCGTCCCTGATCGAGCCGTCGTTATGTCCCAGAGGCCTGTACATTCTAGCCCCCGATTGCTGGCGAGGTGGCGCTGAGCAGTGCGTACCAGCAGTGCTGGCCGGTACCCTCTGGCGCTCCTCAATGCCTGCTTGGGTGGCAGAGCAGTGCGTGCCGACTGGGAAAGGCTGGTTGACCAGCGCGTACCGCCAGTACCCTACCCTGACAAGCGTGGCTGTCTTGGGTTTGTCGCTCATGTTCTGCTTGGCTAGCAAGGCCAACTTGATAATGGAGTGCCAGTTACGGCCTGCTGGGTATGCCGGTGCCGAGCTCGTGTGGAAGGGAGCTTCGATAAGCTTGGCGTAGTGCTGCATGTCGTTCAGGATCATACTTCTGCGCCAGTCGCCTGCGGGGATCATCCGCTCCTTGCTGGCGAGGGGTGGATGTGGTCCAGCGTGCCACTCGCCTGTGGAGGGGCGCCTCCACCACTGGGGCTCCTGTCTGCACTTGCCGAAGGAGTCCTTCAGGTCATTTCCGATCGTGAGGATGGAGCTGCGCTTCTCCGTCACCGCGCAGCACTCGTACTGGTCGAGGTCGTGCAGGCCGATCCCCTCAGCCTTCCTGACCATTTGGAACTCGTCCAGGTTGTACATGCTCTCCTCGGCATCGTGCTGGTCGAAGTGAGGCTGCTCGTTGATGGTGGGCGCGCCGTCCTTGAGGTTGCTGGCGAGCATGTCGCCTAACCTCAGCGCGAGCGGCGTGTCCTTCTTGTCTTTGTCCTGATCCTCCGGCTTCAGGTGCTTGAGGCCGTAGCGATCGTGTTCCTCTGGTCCCCTGAGCGGCGGCGGTCCGCCTCTGCCGTCTCTCCGTTTCCTTCGTGCTCTCGTGAAGGTGTTGCACGGGGGGGCCGTCAGGATGCCGTAAAACTCGCTCCTGTGTGCCTTAAGTCTTCGCCAGTTCTCCTCTCGTTCGGTCGGTCCGCCGAACATGTACATGACCTTGATGCCCGTCGCGAGGTCCTTCGGCTGTGGCCTGCAGAGGTCCGTGGCGTAGCTGTTCGCGTCATCGTAATCAGGGGTCAGGGTCTCAGAATCAATGATGATGATATCAGGTGTGGTCTCGGTATCCACCTTCAGCTTAACTTGATTGCCAGTGCCCTCGCTGGAACTGAAGTGCCGCTTCAATCCAAGATCCGATTCACACTCACCCAAATCCTCTTGCGGCCGTCGTAGTGAGTCCGCCGAGGGCGCCGCTACCTCCCTCGGTGGTGTGGGCGGGGGTCAGCCCCGCCCGCCTCCCTTGCCTCTGCCTCCCCGTCCTCCACCGCGCCCGCCTGACTTGTTGGCGCGGGGTTCACGGGCCGTCTTGAGCGCGCAGCTGTTGGCGCCGTGGTCGATGGAGAGGCACTTGCCGCACTGGTGCTTGAGGCGAGGGATTCTGCGACAATTGTTCCTGGCGTCGTGGTCCGTGCACTCGCCCGTCTGGTATGATCTGCATAGCTCGATGCGTTTCCTGTTGTGCGTGAATAGACCGTCAGGACCGACTTTGTGCATCCTGCCCGTGCTATTGCTGCCGCTGCCTCCGCCCGGAGGCTCGCCGCTGCCCCCGCCTCCGTCGCTCCTCTGTCTCTTGAGCTGCTGTTGAGCGCCTGAAAGAGCTGGCTGAGGTTGCGATGCGGCGTTGGAGGGCGGCGGCGGTGCCTGCATGATCGGCGCGTCGTGGTCGATCATCTGGTGTAGCGACGCCGTGCGAGCCAGGACGAGGACTGCTGGCTCCTGTACTTCTCGTAGCCAGAACTGTACGTCGCTCGTCAACTTTGACCATACCCACTCCCGCGGCTTGGTGGGGTCGAAATCGTGGAACGTGCTGGTCGCGTCGGCTCTCTCTTTCTCATCCTTTCCAACCCGGCGTAGTCTCTCCGACAACTCGAGTCTGGCTCTGACGTCTGCCTGGTATATCAAGGCCCAGCATTGTCTGCCGTATCGTTCGTGAAAGCCTCGCAGATGTTTCTCGTAAGCATCCAACCGTGCAGGGGTAATCTGCTCGAACATGATGCAGCCAACTTTGAATACCGCGTAGCATGCTCGCCAGTCCTCGAAGTCGGCGGGCCCGGTGAGCTCGATCGACGTGACCTCGCCCGTGGGAGCGATCTTCACGCCGCGAAGCCTTATCTTCTTTTGGATCCGATGATGATGTGGTCCCCAAACTGCCATATCCGTATATGGTGCGCCTCCAGATCGGAACGCCTCCCATAGCGTGGACAGCTGCTCCTTGCTCAGCTCCTCCTCCGCAGGTGGGAAGGCCCCGATCCTGTTGTGGTAGTTCTTGTAAGCGATCTTGATGGCGTGCTCGTCTAAGATGTCGACCTCGGTGTCGTCGGTCTGATTGATCGTGCCCGCCATCTTCACCTTGCGGCCGTTGCCGCACTGCGTAGTTTGAGCTGCTGCCGTCTGGGCTGCCGCCTGCGCTGCTGCTGCTGCTGCCGCTGACGGCTGTGTGCCCACTGATACTCTGCATGCCCTCCCCAATAGCCCAGCCTGGGACAACTGTGCCGGAGTGGGATCGAGCATTGGGGGAGGTCCGCCAGCGCTGCCACCGCCCGCAGGGTCCTGAACTTGCACCGCCCTCACGATGGCATCGAAGTCGGCGGCCTGGAGCGCGCCGATGATGCGCGGGTGCTCCGAGCCGTCCACGCCCAGTGCCTGGAAGAGGGCGCCGCGCATGGTGGATAAGTCGCCGTGCGCGCCAGCGATCCCGGCCCAGTCCGCGACCAGGTTGATGGACGTGAAGCTGGCCTGCTCCGTCTCCGTCGGGTCGATGCTCATCCTGACAGACGGACCCTGCTGCCTGATGGGAGCTGCAGGCTAGCAGGCTGCTCGTGGCGCCAGCAACAGCGGGCCCAACAGCACCCGCAAGCACACGTGAGGAGCGTGTAGCTCAGGATGGTCACGGCGATGACCACGATGGCGAAGCTGGGGAAGTGCGCGTCCGCCGCCGCCCCTGCTGTGAGGCGAAAGACCTCCACCTCGGTCCCTGGCATGCGCAGAAGGAGAGGACGAGGGGGAGCGCCACCCCTCGGGCGAGGGGGTCGGCGGACGATGCCCGAAACCTTGAGCCAAAATGGCTACGGACACCGCAGGCCCGCCCACCCTCCAAGGCTCTCGAGGGGGGGATGTTACCCCCACACCGCTGCGCTCTGTTATGTCCCCTCCTCCTCCTCCTCCGCCTCCGCCTCCGCCTCCGCCTCCTCATCCTCCTCCTCCTCCTCCTGCTCAGCCTCCTCCTCCTCCTCCTTCTCCTCCTCCTCCTCCTCCTTCGCCGCCGCCGCCTCCGCCTCCTCCTCCGCCTCCGCCTCCGCCTCCGCCTCCGCCTCCTCCTCCTCCTCCTCCTCCTCCTCATCCTCC